ATATATAGATAGGTGTGTGTGCAGTGCACAGATAAATAATTTATAATAAATATTCCATAAAAAAAACAAGAATGGTCAATTTTGATTTTATGGTGATTTTGGGTTTCTCAATTCCATTTCTCATTTCCATATATATTTTCTGTATTAAACAGGTCATTTTAAACTGTATCCACATTATTAGTATTATTAGTATTACCACAGTGCCCACTGTGTAGAATCGTGATCAGTTTAATGAGTGTTATTTACCACTCCAAAAGACTATGTGACAAAAACAAGACCAGCTTTAAACCCAACCCCACACTCCTTCCTCTTTAAATGTATGCAGCCGAGAGCAATAACATCCCAACCATTCCTTCCTTTGGGAGAAAAGTCTTGGTCAGCTGATCAGTAGTACTGAACCACTCAGGAATGATTATGCTATAGTGAAATCACAAATGCAGCCATCATCAGAGAGAGAGAGAGAGCATCCTGACCTGAGAAAGAGATTAGAGTAACAGAGGAAGTGGGTGTTACTGCTTTATGTCAGGATTCTGGTCTCTTTTTACACAATCTTCTGCTAAGAATTATTACTTCGCTTCAGATGGCAATAAAAGAAGCAGAATAACTAAGTTATTATAGCTTTAGATTTGCTGTGCACACTTACTTTTAAATAATAGAATGTCTTCTTTACCTATTGTCTTTTTGGGGAGTAGTATCTTTCCTCACTGCAAACGGGGGAATGGATGTGCTAATGTCCTTGAGAACATATTTCACATTAAATATAGAGCCCAGTGTCCCTGTTCCAGCTCCTGACTGGATCAGGATTAATGACCTCCACTGGGTTCACTGGCATAATGACCAGTACCAGTGGCGTAACTTAGTAATGACGGGCCCCAGTGCAGGCTATTACGACGGGCCCCCTGGGGTGCATGGTTATGAAGCACATACAAACACACAGCGCTCATGTCTAGAAGGGAACCCATATAAGCAAATTTGTGCCTAACCTACTTAATTTAGACCAACTAAAATCAGTATCTAAATAAATATAATAAATAATTCACATATCAGACAAAATTGCGTTGCAGCAAATCCTTTAAATTTTAAGGTATTTAGAGCAGAGCAACATAAAATTCAGAAAAAATATAATCGGGCCTGTTTAAGGCTTTTCCTTATATTTATAGTTTAGATGGTGATGAAAAAATTACTCGCCACCTCCTCATTGGACGTGCCTTTAGAGAGAAATGCATCTTAACGGATTACATAATGAAAGAGTTTTTGTTTTCGATTGGAATTTCGTGATGATTTGAGAAGGCTAAATTGATCAAACATAGGCTATGATCGGCTCACTGTCTGCTGCTGGCCGCTTGGTCGTTACTTAAAAAACTTATATTTAATTTAGAACCCAGAACCTCGGAAATGCGTGACAAAAGTTCTACCACTAAACCACTAAAACACACGACTATGCTTCACGAATTTATATATTTATTCAGAATCTCGGTACTAATTGTGTTTTATTATTAATATGTTTATTATTAATTTATATTAATATAGTCGCTTGCAATGTGGGCAGGGCCCGCGTGCGCTGCGGCCCCCCCCGCGGCACGGGCCCCAGTGCGGTTGCACTGCCTGCACTGTCTGTAGTTACGCCACTGACCAGTACTGTAGGTCAGACAACTGCCTCGGGTCAATTCAACACACTAGGTTAACTAGAACAGCATGTAAGCTAAAATTGGTACAATGAGGAATGGACACACGACAGAAAACTGCCCTGCTGAACTCATCAAAAACAAGCCTTGAAAACAGAACTCAAAATCTGCGATCAGCAGTGAAGTTTGCAATGGTTGATATCGACATATTCATCTTCCTTAGTCTTACCACAATGGCACTAAACCAAGTCAAAGTGCCCTGCACCTCAATAAGCGTTCTAATGGTGCTATAAATATTGATTAATAATTGATTTACAGAGAATCTCTGTCTCAAGGATTTCTAGTGATTTCTGAGCATCCTGTAACATGAACAAGCAGGGTATAAAAGAACAACTGGGATAGAGAGGGAGAGAGAGATACATACATCTGAACACTGGAAGACGACACCAGCCTGCCAAAGAATGATTATAGATACTGCACTTCCCTCGAGCCATTCAATACATACAGGAGGATCTAGCAAAAACTAAATGATTCAGCAAAATTTTCAATAACAAGTGCGGCTAATGGAGATGAATTTGCCTAAATGTGTCAGCTAAAAAAGAAATGAGAGATTGATAAAACAGCCACAGACAGCAGCCATGGCAATGCAAAGAGAAACTTTTGGGCTTAAAGAGCATGCATGGTTCTGGGATTAAACACAAGTTTGCTAAGCAATTGAGCAACACTGGCTGGCGTCAAGCGGGCCACCTTACATATGCTCTGAGACACAAGAGCTGCTAATTTAGTGCAGAGGAGAGCAAGGGATGGTATTTCTGTTATTGCAAACAAAGCAAGCCACACTTGTGTCCCTTATCCCCTACGTCACTGACTTTTCAGAATAGAGCACACAGTGGTGCTGGGCCTCTTCAGGGGAGGTTATGCAAGTTTATAGTACGAAGGGTGTACAGTTCTGTTTACTGAGTCATTGCAAGAGAATTAGTCAATGCAGGTGACTATCCACAAGGTCTCACATATACAAAAAGCAACTGTCAGCATCCACTGTAAGAAAAATGAAGAAACTCCACTGAACGGCCAGTAGACTTTTTCTGAAGATTTCTAATGACATATTCAACATCAGTTTTCTCCTTTCTTTGTGCACAACAGAGGAAATGACATGACAGTCATGTGAAAATACCAAATATCACAGGAAGTTTCTGATCTACAAACCCACACTTTCCTAAAATGACTTTCAAAATTGTTCTCTTTCATAAAGCATGGTGGATTTTAACATATTTGCAAATGTGACAGAAAAACAAACAAACCTTAAAATGTATTAGGTTCACTATGTAGACAAAAATACAGTATCAATATCCATAAAATTTTTGGCAAAGTCCCATGCAAGGTTTCAATAGTCATTAGCTGGTAATTTAATAGCCCAAGATGGACTATTAACATATATTAAAAAAAATCCTAAACTGGTTTTAACTGGTCTGTCAGCCTGACCAGCCTGGTTTCACAAGGGCTTTTTTCAGCAGGTCCAGCTTTAAGTCCATTAGGCTGCATAGCTAAACCAGCTAAAGACCAGTCCACCCAGACTAGGAGACCAGCGAGGACCTGCAAACCATCTTAAGACTGCTTTAAGATGCCTTTTTCCTCAACAGGGTTATTAAGAGAGTTATTGATAAGTGAAGAGCTGCAAAGAATGTTCTGGTGAAATATTTTCGCACACCTGTTCAAAATATCAATGCACATCCAAACTCACCCCCATTAACAGCAGCAGGTGCGATCACGATCCCTTTCGCCTCTGTTTTGGGGGAATTCTGCCCGTACCGCCCGTCATTCTTCGTCACCATCTGTTGAGGATTGCCTTTATGGTCCAAAACGGTGGCGTTGACCGTGGCGCTATAATAATCCTCCTTGTTCACCATAGTTTTGTCGGCACCGATCGACAGCGTATACCTGGGCGAGACGAAGGCGAGGAGGAAGGCGAGAAGGCAGCTGCTGCATGACGCCGGCGCGGCCAATCTCTTCAGCATCTTCGGCAATGTCTTCACCGATCAACGCTACCCGACTCTGCGAATCTTTCAACGGTCAGCGCTCTGTCTCAAGAGCCCTCATGTAAACATACTGTCCTCCTCTCAAGCCACAACGTTCATATGAAGAGCCATGCGTCGCTTCCCCTAAAAGAAAGACAGAAAGAAAGGGTAGATAGATTTGTCGACGTTACTGACTTTGCGATGACAACAAAACGCGTGTATTTCACCAGACAGGCTTGAGAGCGTATAATGAACCCCGTTTTGTTTTATTAAGGGCGGTTAGACTTGTCTACAGGTCCTTTAACTAGTACACTGGCTTTTAACGACTGTTAAAGGGCAACAAATGTATCTCTTCTGCTGTCAGGACCGCTTTGTTCGTACAACCAGCTGCTATGCAACAAAAACACCTTTCCTGGCGAGCTGCGATTTTGATTTATTTAAAAAAGGTTATGACGACCTATCATACCTGCTCGGTCGCTTCCACCTGTATTATTTACAGTCAAACTGTCTCTTTGTGGTGTTCACAGCGCCGTGGCTCGTTCGGCCATAGGCAGACCGATGAGTTCTGCTCGCCTTTTTTCCTTCCCAAAACTGAGCCGTACGCGTGTGCGCATGGGCGAAGCAGCGCGTCTCTCGCACGCTGAGATCAGATCAGTGGGAGGGAAGGACGGGGCCACATCACCATCATCTCAAAATGCGTATGCTGGTCCTTAATCACTCATTTAATACCAGTGGTAGCATTTGTGGCTGTTTACTTTTCAATTTGAAGAGTCTACATTTTACATGGAGTTGTTGATGGCTATTATGTAGGTTATTTTTTTATATATATTGCTATGATCAGAGCTTTTTTATTCCAGTTTGCTCATCTGAAAGATGATGTTTATGAAAAGAAGCATGTAAAGCACAGTGATGTCATAATCAGGGGCGTTGCACAAGATCCCGGGCCCTATGCATAGGCAGTCCTGATGGGCCCCCATGCCCCCCCCCCATACTATTTTAGTTTTTTAATCCCTACCCTACATGAACAAACTGCGTACTGTATGATAACCAAACAAGACTTGATTCAGTCATATTTTATTTGCAGAATGAACAAGACAAAGGGAACAGATAGCTTATATGACATTGGAGTGTTCTCAGTAAATGCCACTGAAGGTAGCCTAATATTAATGCCATACGTGCTTAAGTCATCATCTCAGACTTTCTTATCATAGTCTGGTATATAGTCTCAATTTTAATTGAGAGAACATTTATTTTTATTACGCTACATTACTTCAAGGCATAAATTAAATCTTAAACATGCCGTTTTAGTTTTGTACATTAACAAAAAGCTCCATTCATAATATTCTTTTTTGGTGGCCTGATTTGGCTTTCTTTGAGAAAGACATTTCTACAGCGCTCCACCAGATGCTCAACTAACATAAACAAACTGCGTGCAGATGGACTAAACCATTTGGCGCATTAGCAAGGGGGGTGGGATCATGAAACCGTCAGTCAATCAACCAAGTTATTCAGCCAATACACAAAATTTACGTTTCATCTGACATTCATTATGAAATTTAATTAGGAAATGAAAATATCCAGGTAAAATAAAATATATTCCATACTTTTCAAGGGCCCTCTCTTCCTTTGGGGCCCTGGTAATCAGTACTGGTTTTACCCCCAGTCTGACGCCCCTGGTCATAATAGAGATGAAACGTCCAAATTTGGTAGCCTGCATAAAAGTAGGCTACTTTTATGTTTCTGTAGAGGTTAATCTGTAGTCTCTTGTACATAAATTGAGATCACAATGCACTAAAACATGTCAGTGGTTGCATATGTGAAAACCCAGATCCTATTTTTTAATAAGTAATGGTAACACCTTCCAATAAGGTTTGTTAACCTTAGTTAATACATTAGCTAACATAAACTAACAATACCTCTTTCAGTAGGCTATTTATAATCTTTGTCAGGGTTAGTCAATGGAAATGCAATTGTTCATTGTTTATTCATGTTCAAAGTGCATTTGAACTCTGATTTTAAAAATGTATTAGTAAATGCTGAAATTAACTCAGTGAACAATACTTCTACAGCATTTAATCTTAGATAATGTTACTTTTTGTGTAATGACAAATCACTTGTTTTCTTCCTCATTGGTAAGTCACTTTGGATAAAAGTGTCTGCTAAATGAATAAATGTAGCCCAAATGTTAACTAATGAAGTAATGTTAAATGGATCATTATCGTAAAGTGTTATTCAAGTAACTGATTCACATTATATATTCAACTGTGTAACTTGTTAATTGTTTGCAGACATGCATAATGTTTCATTTGGTTATCTAAGTAAAATGCATGCACTCACTTAACTGAGAACAATTTGTGAGTAAATGGGTTAAGTCATCGTGTTTGCAGAACATTTGCACCTGGCTGCATCTGTAGAGTATAGCCAGATGGTACGAATGTGCACTGGACAACAGATCCAGCTAACTGTCTATGAGGAGTCTTTTTTTCTTTTTTTTTTCTTTTCTTTTCTTTTCTTTTCTTTTCTTTATAATGCACAGTATAGCAAACAAGTCCTTACCGAATCTTGACAAACATCAGCAGGAGATACAAGAATCCCATATTTTATAATTTTCCTCTTTATTGTACATAATTTCACCTTTAAACAATTACATTTAACGGTTACATTTAATTTTAACTCATCATATGCACATTTCTTGTGTAGCCTAATAATAGCAGAGATCTGTTTTTAGCTGAACCATATCAACAACTCATCAGATCATTGGCTCTCTCTAGTGGAGGCCATATAGTCCTACATTACAATAAATTATTATTTTACAATATTACACAAGGCATAATACAATTATGTGTTTAATTAAGTTTTAACACTCCAACTTGAAATACATTTACCTTAAACCTCAATTATTAACTTTAAATTTATTTATATACTTGGTGGAAATTATTTGTCAGGTATTTTTAGCCCCTTTCCATATTTACTAACCCGTATTCATATTTCTTCAGCTTCGGATAC